CGACTACAAAATACCAAATTACAGCGAATTCGATTGAAAAAGGCGTTCATGAACCCCAAAATACCGAAAATTGGAGGGTACCCTTATATGGGGTCTACCCAAAAAATTGACCTATATAAGAATAAGAACTCAAAGCACTAAATTACAGCCAACTCAGTCGAAAAATACGCTCAAAACCCCAAAGTACTGAATATTGGGGGTACCGTTTTATAAGAGCTACCAAAACAAGTGCACCTATATTTCGTCAAAAAAGGAGCTTCTATTAACAAAAAACAAAAAGACGTATTTGATAAACGCAAAAAGGCGTAACTAACAAAGAATTCAAATTTTTACTTAATTGTTATGACTGCCATTAAACTAAATAAATAAATTTTTTTTCATTCAAAACAGTTTTTTGCTTCTCAACTTATGCAAAATTGTGCCGATCTATCTCAATTAATATACCCTCCACACTATGGTGGAGGGTTTAAAAAGTGGTTAAGTTCGGCCGGGGCGAACTTTATATATCCTCCACCATGAACTTTCAGGAGAAAATGAAATTACAACAAATTCCGATTAAAAACATGGCAAAAATACCGAAGATTGGGTGTACAATTGTATGGGGGCTACCCTGGACTTGGATCTATATTAATCATTTTTTATGGAAGTTCGCTATACATTACGAACCCAAAACGCCAAATTATAGCCAGGAATTGCAAACGAAATGACAATGTTAATATAGGGGAGAGGGGCACCTTTGAACACTTTTTGCTTTCAAGCCTTATAAAAATTTTTATTTTATAATTTTTGTTTTCTTATAAATTTTAATTAATAGGTACATATGTAACCTTTAAAATGAATATACATATGACATACTATAAGCTTGATAAATATATTTTATTCCTGTTTTAATGGTCGAAGTCAAGGTGTTCAAAACTGACTTAAAACCAAAAATTAATATGATGAAAATACAGTTAATTTCGTAATCTTATTAGCCCGTTTGAAATTTTGAGAAATCGAGGCCAAAAATTAAAACTCCGTTTTTTACTCGAGTTTAATGGGCATGTTCAAAGGTGCCCCACCCATGGCATTTTAGGGAAATTTATAATAACTTTTTTTTGTAATAAATATATATGAAAGAAATTACATTAGTTATGTTTGAAATGATTGTTGGAATGCAAAAAATGGTTTGACGAAAGAAAATTATCACAAAATTCTTCCTGCGCCCTTACAACCGAAGGAATAAAAGTTTACAATTGTACTGTGAAAACGTGGTAACCCATACACAATTTTTCGACAACTGAAAAAGCAAGCCAAAGTGGTTTACGTATATAGAGAACAAGATTGCTATATACAAAAATGTGGTTGCGGGTCGGAAAAATATTAAACCAAGATTTTATGAGCGCTGTTCAAAGGTGCCCCACGTTCAAAGGTGCCCCCCTCTCCCCTACATTGGAGGGTATAAAAGTCGAAAAACTGAAACAAACCCAATATCTACTCTCGCAGGAAATATTCGAATTGTTCCAAACAACGAACATGGAGAGAGGAGTATATATCGGTCAATATTTTTGTAAAAAATAGGTAATATGTATTTCACATCTTAATATTAGTACCTAACATCCATCTCGATAAGAAAATAAACACAACTAAATTTGATTTTAGACATCACTTTTAATCTAGCATATTGGCCATTGTCTTTATCCAGCATTATAATAACCACTCCAAAAGTATATATTTTTCATTTTATCAGCAAGGTTATCAGCATGGATATATTTGATGAGAGATGATTCATTGGACGATATATACTTAGAAATGCCCAAAAAAATATCAAACAGCGGTTTAGTCGGCACTTTTTGAAGACTAGTATTATCATTACTGCAGCTCATTCTGTTCTCATTTTTGTTCACCCTTTTTCCGATTGTACTTTTTTCAATTTGTAAATATTTAGAAAATTTGCTTCATAAATATACTTTTTTTTTTGAAAAATATTCTCAACTGGGTGAGAATATTTGTCATATTTGTCTCTTCAAAATTTCCTGTTTGTCAAGATGCCAATGCATTTCTGAGAATATAAAAATCATTTCACTCAAAAATTAACATTATGTTATGTCATCATATCGTGACATAACATAATGTTATACCATACCGACATCTATAGTTTATTTGTGACTATGAAATGTCCTATCTTATATTATATGTCTTTGCTTTGATAGTGCACAATACCGCATCTGATGACAATTCTATTATTGACAACAACCAGAAACAATAATTCCATTAGTGTGATGTACAATATCACAACCAGATGGAGTAGTTTTAAGAAGTGTTCAGATAATTTTAGTTAAGATGAGTATCTGTCTGATATGTCCACATAACATTTTAAATATTTTCTACCCAAGGTTAGTATAAAGGATAACAAACTGCATTACATTTTAAAATCCATAAAATCATACCCAGATAACAGTGGATTAAATGTAGACGTTGTTATAGGCTTCTATATATCGATATAGATTATGTAATAATAACGTTCAAACTCAAAACTAATTAAGCAAACTAAGCAGTGGCGGTAAAAAATTGTAGTTTGATTGCATTTGTTGCACCTCAATTTGGAAGTATATTTAAGTACTTCTATTGTCAACATCTAACAGAATTGTTTTCTAAGCCTGTTTTGTGATAAAGGTGCAATTTCCAAACAACTAAGATATTCATCTTACAGATTAACTTTGGCAATATATGACGAAAATTTAAATGATATTTGTTGAAACATGAACTGATTATTTTCAATTTATATTTTTAGTGCACTGCAATGTTTGGTTCATGTTGCTTTTTTTTTTTTTTTTGTTTACATAATTTAAATTAAAAAGCTAAATTAAGTGTTGAATATACCCTAAAGTGCTTTGAATAGTTAATGGAACATCCTATTCTATCCTGCCATTACAACCAATTAATTTTGTTTACAAATAATTATGTATTTCCATATATCAAGTTTCATAATATACCAAAAACAAGTACAAAAATCTCATGAATGTTGGTGATAAATTAATAATACATTTCAAATAGAACCTCATTAAAATAAATTGATATGCAAAATGCATTAACATTTAACTTCATTTAAATAAAAAGCTGTTGAATGTGAATTACAATTCATTGGCATAGGGACACCTAGGACATTTGGCAATAAATAATTATTCATTTACTTTCTGTAAACAAAATATTTAGAAAAAGAATATTATATGAAATTAGTCAGAATATATCTGTAGGTTCTGGGGACATATACACATCGCCAGAATAGGACTTTTAAATTTGATGTTTGGCATTATATATATACCTTATATATTTATGTACGATACTCGCCAGATTGTTGAACTTCTGGCATCTAAGTTGTCCGCATTTTGGGTTCTGAAAAGTTCTTACAAAAGTGGATTAATATTGATAATATCAGCCCACTTTTTAGAGTAGCCACTAAAACGATATCTTCCAAACTTCGGTATTTTTTTGGGAGTGATTTTATTTTTTGTATTCTTTTTCGTGAGAAAACCTAATACAAATTGTCAATATTAAGACAAGTTTCAGAGCCCCCCAATTTTCAGTAGATTTTGAACACCTTTTAAACGGAATTGGATCAAATTTCATATTTTATTCATATGATTACGATTCATATAAATAAAATATAAAATTATAGTACTTGTTCTTTGAGTTCCAATTGGGCGATGAACATCAACCGGTATTTTTAGGATTCCATAAACGATTTTAAATTCTAATTGACTCTAAATTTGATATCTTTGTTCCCATTGGGTGTCAAAAATTATTTGTTTCGGATAACCGCCATTTAAAGATAACGCCTGGTTTCGGTATTTTAGTACTTCAAACATGTAGAAAATTTGGGTTTTGGACCCACCTGAATGTCTGTATATTTGTATTTCGTTTACCGTAGCATAACCGATCGATATAAAGTTCAATCCGATATTTCTATTTGATATGACATTTGTTAATGGTTTTTAAAAATAAAAGCGTTTTCGGGAAGGTTACCTGTACTAATAAAATAGTAAACCGATTGATTTACTTAACGATTCATCAAGGCCCAGACGAAACGGCTAAAGCAGGAACCTTGATATTTTGGGGTGAGGGTCACTCTTATTACAAATGTTCAGAAAAGGATCGGATTTTGGAAATTCGAACGGCACGAAAACTACTAAAGTAGAAAAGAACAAAAAATGCACTAAATTTGTGACAATTTTACATGTGAACAGATAGAGCTGAAAACTTGAAAGGAAGTACCAGTTGGTTGGTATTCTTCGTATACCAGACGATACTAAAATAAACACCTGAAAATGGCGAGGAAATAATAAAGACCTTATTTTTATAAGAATTGTGTCTTGCTAAACCACTGTGCAAGCAGCAGCTATAAGATCAGAAACACCGCACATAGGAGAATCGAAAATCTAACACCAATTGTTTTCAAACGCATCAAAATGTAATGCCGTGTGTGTATGATTTACATGCGTTGTAATGCTGACCAGTTACAGCATGTATGTAAGGCGATGTGTGTATGGCTGCTAATAGATATATATATATATAAATATGGTTGTATGTACATATTGTAAATATTTTAAAGTACAATATCGTAAAATGTAAATATGTAATTTTTGTAGCTTTGCAATGTAAATGCATTTTGTCTTTCTTCTTTGATTTTTGCCTAATGATATTGGAGATCATTTTTGTAAATTTTAGTTGGCATAGCAACAGCGAAATAAACGCATCAATTTTTGGAAGCAGAATTTGCTGCATTTCGAGTTTTATTTCTTTTCGCATCATCTTATAAAAAAGCTTATAAGATCAAACATTGGTGACCCCGACGTGATACTTAAAGGCAAATTGTATCACAATTATTAATATTAATTCGGATATTAATAAACTCGTATTTTGAATATTATAAAATTGTAAATTTGGAATTTAAAATCAATTCGGATTTTAATATATTTGCAAATTTTCGATTTTTGTATTGCATAACACCTTTAATAAATATGGCTACCAAAAATACATCATCATCGTCGTCAAATGAAGCTGATAAAGTGCCATCCAATTTTTCCTTGTGCTTTAAAAAGGTAGCATCAATTAATAAGCAACTGGAAGACATTAACAACCGTCTTACCGCAGATGAAATAAATAATTTGGACGAGGCTGATCTTTCTGTGCGTCTTGAATATGTTGAAAAATTAAATCAAAATTTTGAACAGTCTGTATCATTTTTGGAAGAAACTAGTGATGTTGATATGGATGATACGATTCGATCAAATTTTATGACATCATATTTTGAGGTTACTGCCAAGCTTAAGCGCAAGTTAGGTGCCAACACCAATCAACGTGCAGCTTTCCGATCATCAACTCTTCGCCAGTTTTCTGTGGATGAACCAGTTACTGTTCGTAAAACAAGGTTACCGGAACTTCGAATTCCCCAGTTCAGCGGTTCATACACAGAGTGGCCTGCATTCTTTGCAATGTTTTCTACTGCAATAGCAAGTGATATGGATTTATCTAACCTAGAAAAGTTTCAACATTTGAAGACTAGTTTGACTGGTGCAGCGCTGGACACCATCTCGTCTTTAGAGCCTACCGATTCTAATTATGAAAAGGCTATCGATTTACTTAAGAATCGTTTTGATAATAAATTACTTCTTTTTCAAACCCATATTAAGGAAATATTTGGCTTGCATAGTGTGGATAAAAATTCGGCTTTGAGTCTTCGGCAGCTTAGTGATAAGCTTAACGCACACGTAAGAGCTTTGGATACAATATGTTCCAAGGAGCAAATGGCAGATGGATTATTAATTTATTTAATTACGTCAAAGCTAGATTTACAAAGCCTAGCAAAATGGGAGGAGCATTTACATAACGATAAATTGCCCTCGTGGGATTCGTTGTCGTCATTTTTGGATAGAAGATGCCGTATGCTTGAAAATCTTGAAAGTTCCATTAAACCGAAATCACCCAATCATCAGGTAAACAAGAAAACTAATTTTCATGGACGAAATGTGCTAATAGCTTCAGGAGCCACACAGATGTGTACATTTTGTGAAGCGAAAGATCATTACATAACAACCTGCCAAAGTTTTGAAAAATTATCTCCAACACTTCGATTCAAAGAATCGAAGAGATTAAACTTATGTCTAAATTGTTTGAGGAAAGGTCACAGACTTTGGAAGTGTAAATCAGGAACTTGCCGATTTTGCCATTTAAAACATCATACATTGTTGCACATTGGAAATAATGATTTGGAAATTAACTTAACTAATCCTCAAGATAAAGTGTCAGTAGCTCATGAAGTGGTTAATAATATCGAACCAAAGAAACAGTCTACTCTTGTATCATCCAGCTCTAATCAAAACATTTCACATTCTGTCATTGGTTCCAGAGTTCTATTAGCAACTGCAATTGTCTTAGTAAAAAATAAATTTGGTGTGTACGTGCCCTGTCGTGCAATATTGGACTCGGCATCTCAGTTAAACTTTATAACATCGCGTTTCGCAAATCTGGCCCAGCTAAAGGTAAAACATTCTAACGTATATATCTCCGGAATTGGTGAAGGAAGCATTAACGCAGATAAAATAGCAGATGTCGAAATTAAGTCCCATAGTAGCAGTTATTCTGTTTCGTTTTCTGCGGTCGTCATACCAGCTATAACTGACTATCAACCAAACATAGATAATGATGTTAGTAAGTTTAAAATCCCGGAGAACATCAAGTTAGCTGATGAAGGATTTTACAAAAGAAGCCGTATTGATCTATTGATTGGCGCAGGTCTATTCTTTGAGCTTATGAGCGTTGGCCAAATTCGTTGTGGAAACATTTCCACGATTTTGCAAAAAACTCACCTTGGTTGGATTGTATCTGGTGGTGGTGTACTTCATTCCAAGGCGCATTCATTGGCAGCTACGTGTATGGTTAAGCCTGATACTGATAGCGATTCATCTTTAATTGACATTTTAAAGAGTTTTTGGGAAATTGAAAACAACTTCGCTAATTCTGAAATTTCTCTCCCTGAACATAAATTCTGTGAGGAGCACTTTGCTCAAAATACTATTCAGCTACCTTCAGGTGAGTACTCAGTCTCCCTACCAAAGAAATTGGATACACATATGCTGGGTGATTCATATGATCGGGCACTTCACCGGTTTAAGAACCTCGAGAAAAAGTTGAGTAAGATGCCAGATACAAAGAAAAAATATGTTGATTTTATGAAGGAATACTTAGATCTTCAGCATATGTCGTTAGTTAAAAATATTCCGCAAGATACACGAGCATTCTTTCTTCCCCATCACTGTGTTCAAAAGGAGGATAGCACAACAACAAAACTAAGAGTTGTGTTTGATGGTTCTGCAAAATCAACTTCAGGCATTTCCTTGAACGATATATTATATGCGGGACCTACTATACAACCAAAATTGTTCAATACATTACTACGTTTTCGACTTTTTAGAGTGGCTTTGAGTGGAGATATATCCAAAATGTATCGTTGTGTTCGAGTGAATCCACCCGATGACTATCTTCAATGTATCCTGTGGAGAAATAATACAGAAGAAGATATACAAGTTTATAAACTTGATACTGTTACATATGGAACCAAACCAGCGGCTTTCCTTGCTATAAGGACAATGCAACAACTTTCAATTGATACAGAAACCAGCTTTCCTATCGGTGCTCAAGTTATTAGAAGAGATTTTTATGTGGACGACTTGATCTCAGGCGCAAATTCTATTGAAGAAGTCGTAACTATTAGAGAGCAAGTTACAGCTTTGTTAAAACGTGGTAACTTTCAAATTCGTAAATGGTGCTCTAATGAAGAATTATCTTTGTATGGCGTATCATCTAGTGATCGTGAAACGTTTTTACAATTTCATGACGGAACAGATATAGTCAAAACTCTGGGACTAATTTGGGATCCAAAACTAGATAAATTTATATTTTCTTTTTCTCATTTTGATGAAAACCTCAATACTACGAAAAGAATTATTTTATCTTCTATAGCCCGATTTTATGATCCCCTCGGATTAATTGGACCCGTCATCACCAAAGCCAAAATATTTATGCAAAATTTGTGGAAACTAAAATTAGATTGGGACGAGAGTCTGCCTCAAGCCTTACATACATCGTGGCTTGAATATGTTTCCACGTTTTCTAATATATGCAATTTCGAATTTCCACGCTATGTTTCCATTCCAAATGCGGACGTACAAATACATGGATTTTGTGACGCAAGCTTGGCTGCTTATGGAGCATGTGTTTACGTTCGCTCCGAGATTGATGGTAAAATTCAAGTAAGGCTGCTGTGTTCCAAATCTCGAGTAGCACCTTTAAAGGTATTAACCGTACCCAAATTAGAATTATGTTCTGCACTACTCCTTGCAGAGCTGTTAGCAGAAATAACAACAACATTTGAAAATGGTTACAAATATCACTGCTGGTCTGATTCTATGGTTGTCTTATCATGGTTGCAAGGTGAATCTTCAAACTACAATGTATTTGTCGCCAACCGTGTAAGCCAAATACAAAATATAACCAAAAATATGATCTGGCGTCATGTCCCATCTTTATCAAATCCGGCGGATATCTTATCAAGGGGAGCCACACCAGAAGAGCTATTAAAAGATAATATGTGGATAAATGGACCGAAGTTTTTGTATCAGGGTTTGGAATGTTGGCCAAATACATCTATTTTTGTTGATAATCTACCCGAATGCCGACAAACAGTTTTATCTACATCAACCAAAATTGCAGATTTTTCGATGTTATGTAAATATCATAATTCATTTTTCAAAATTCAGCGAATTTTTGGATTTGTATACCGATTTCTTAATTTTACAAGAGGAACAAAGTTATATGGAAATTTAACAGAGAAGGATATAAAAATGGGTACGAAAATAATGTTTCGTAACATTCAATACGTACACTTCGCATCTGAATACACAATGTTAAAATCAAAACAAATTATCAGTAAATCCAGCAAATTAAATTCACTTTCGCCGTTCATGGACGCAGAAGGATTAATAAGAGTAGGAGGACGTCTTCAAAATTCGTTTTTAAATTATGACGCACAACATCCAATAATTATACCCAGTGGTCACCCCGTTACAACATCTCTAATTTTGTATTATCATCATGAATTACTACATGCTGGACCGCAATGTTTATTAGCCAACATTCGTCAGCAGTACTGGCCGCTAGGAGGCAGGAAGTTGGTAAGCGCAGTTCTCGGAAAATGTGTCCGATGCTTTCGCCTTAAGCCAAAAATTGCAGAGCATGTAATGGGCAGCTTGCCAGAAGATAGAGTGAGACCAAATCGAGCATTTTTTACTACGGGTGTTGATTTCTGTGGACCGTTTTTCTACAAATCCGATATTAGAAAACGGCCACCAGTAAAATGCTATATTTGCATATATATTTGCTTTTCCACCAAAGCTACGCATTTGGAGTTGGTTGCAGATTTATCCACATCATCATTTTTGTCTTCGTTGAAACGATTTATTTCCCTTCGCGGAAAACCAAAAACAATATGGTCTGATAATGGCACAAATTTTGTTGGTGCCAGAAATGAGCTAGCTGAGTTGAGGCAGTTATTTTTCGATCAAAATAACATGGATGAAATTTACAAGCAGTGTGTGGCCGACGAAATAAATTGGAAATTTATCCCTCCCAGATCACCACATTTTGGCGGACTTTGGGAGGCTGCTGTCAAATCAGCCAAATATCACTTTTACCGCACAGTGGGACAGCAAATTCTTACATTCGATGAATTAAGAACACTGGTATGTCAAATTTCTGCAATCCTTAATTCAAGACCATTATGTCCAATTACAGAAGATCCAAACGACCTTGAAGTCTTGACTCCCGGTCATTTTTTAGTCGGATCACCATTAGTTACTTATTCTGAACCAGACGTTACGGACTTGAACATCAATCAGCTAAGTAGATGGCAAAAGGTTTGCTATATGCACCAAACGTTTTGGAAAAAATGGAGTAGCTCCTACTTAGCGCTACTTCAGGAGCGATCAAAGTGGAGAACCCCACAGAAAAATGTTGCAGTTGGTGACATGGTACTCCTTAAAGATGAAAATATTCCACCCCTGAAATGGTTATTAGGACGTGTCGTAAATGTTATTACTGGAAGTGATGGCGTTGTTCGAGTTGCGATGGTCAGAACGGCAAATGGCATTAGTCGACGATCGGTTGCAAAATTAGCAATTCTCCCTATAGAAAATGGTTCTGTTGAAAGTTATAACCTTTCAACGGGGGGAGGATGTCTTGCTAAACCACTGTGCAAGCAGCAGCTATAAGATCAGAAACACCGCACATAGGAGAATCGAAAATCTAACACCAATTGTTTTCAAACGCATCAAAATGTAATGCCGTGTGTGTATGATTTACATGCGTTGTAATGCTGACCAGTTACAGCATGTATGTAAGGCGATGTGTGTATGGCTGCTAATAGATATATATATATATAATATGGTTGTATGTACATATTGTAAATATTTTAAAGTACAATATCGTAAAATGTAAATATGTAATTTGTAGCTTTGCAATGTAAATGCATTTTGTCTTTCTTCTTTGATTTTTGCCTAATGATATTGGAGATCATTTTTGTAAATTTTAGTTGGCATAGCAACAGCGAAATAAACGCATCAATTTTTGGAAGCAGAATTTGCTGCATTTCGAGTTTTATTTCTTTTCGCATCATCTTATAAAAAAGCTTATAAGACATTATTGATTTATCATAGGGTGGTAATAGTAACAATTATTTGCAGTTCAATAGATATAATTATTTTAATCTATAATACTATCATTAACATCTTTTTTTAATTTTTTTAACAATGAGAATAATCAGTAGACATGTTCTGAATATAATGACTACCCCATGTCCACCACTTTATGCGTAGCTGGATTTTACAATTCACCCTTATGTCACGTCGCTTTAGTATTTATACCATTAAATGAAATCTTTTATATGGACATGGTCTTTATTCATCATCTTCAGACTACTCAGCCAAAAAAATATATGCAAAAGACCAATATCCTCTCATTATACCAACCAATACCTCTGGCCGAACGACCCATCCGACCAATACATAAAATGTTGAGTAAAGTATTTTTTATGCATTTATGCATGAGGTCCCGTCCGTATGCACGAGTATGTACTTGTTTGCACACACACACACATGAAGTGGTATATATTTATGGATTAAAGTGCACTCGGTCGCCAGCCACATAACATACCCGTATACTCTCGCATACACATTGTGACAGACAGCAAACCATGTCAAAGAACTCTTAACCATCGTAAATAAGTCGAAATAATATTCGGACATGAATTTTTATGAGCGGCTTTATGTTGAACAAAAAAAAAAAAAAAAGAATTAAAACTAACAGCAATCACAGGAGTTCTGTATGAATACGATGAGAGGGGTCAGTAAACATGGCTAAATCGATGTACAATAATTATAAAGTGGGTGGGATGTGCAGTAAAATTTTAATACGAAAAAATCATATCCCATTTTCTTCAGATTTAAATATGACCAGTAAAATCGGGACATTCATATGGGTAGAAAATTGGGCTAAGGTCTTCAACGTACTGAAAATTTTAAAATGCCAAAAATGTGGTGGCTATATAAAAACGAGGACAGATATTGATCATTTTTTACAGGACCTTCTAACGCCCAATTGAAACCAATTAATATTGAAACAGAGCCAATTCGGGAGGTTTTTATACTGAAGTTGGGATCAAATTAATACATTTTTGTAGAGGAATTTGAAGTTAATGGCTCGAAGTCTACTGTTTTGAAATGTCTCTTTTATTACTATGGGTTCCAACAAATAATAATTTGTCAATTTTATCATTTCCTATTTTGTTTCCAAATCGAGTGTGTCTCGGGGTTTTTAACTTCTATCAAATCACGGATATGATCTTCAGGCTTTTGTGGCTAATGCAAAATATGAACACAATTCGATCGATATATTTTATTTTCAAGACTAAATATTATTGTTATGTATGTGCATCCAAATCCATCTGTATCTGTTATGGGTCTCTACGGAACATTTCTAAGTGTTGAAAATGCTCTGGTAAAATTGTTATATCTTCACTCTCAAGATAGTTCTGGAAGAAACCAAAATTCAAAACTGCAGGAATTTACAAAGATACGTCATAAGTCGTTGAGAAAAAGATCATAGCGACGCCTCCGAAGAATAGTATGCTAAGTCTGAAAAGTGAGTTTTTCAGCAGAAGCTCTCAAAGTATGGAAGTTTCTTAAATCTTACGTGCCATGATAAGTACATTTTTGCTTATAACTTTGGTTTGGATTGGCCGATGGTTACCAAAATTTCAGAGAATTTAAATTAAGGACCGTGGTATCTAAAAACGTAAAGAACTTTAAAACATGCTAAGTCGACTTAGCATACTATTGTTCCGAGGCATCGATAGATTCTCTAGCAAAACTGTTGTTGATAGTGTGTCAGGCCAAAAACCACTGGATCCCGGGTGGAAAAATCGTTCAAAGTGGTACACAACGCTTCCGATGAAAGGCCTGAAATTATATTAATCAACCTCGGCAAGTAAAAAAGTGACAGTCGGTTATGCCGACAGATATACACACTCAGCCTTTGGTAAGATAATGTTTTATTATTCGTTTAAGTTTGTGCGAAATTTTGGTTTAAATCGGACATTTCATTCGCACTCGAAGGAGTGGACGAATGAGTCGCATTTTCGGACTTGATCTAGGTTTGGTGAAGATATTAAAAAAATAACATTTGTTGTATTGGATTTATAAATATTAAACATTTGTGGGGACTAGGCTTGGTAAAGATAATAGTCTGTGCAAAGTAATTTCTAACAAAATGTTGATCATTTTTTAGGGGAGGTACTAGAAGGAGTGGACCGATATTCCCCATCTTCGAACTTGAACTAAGTTTGAAAGAAATATTACGATGTGAAAAGTTTGGATGAAATTGGTTACTGCCATCGAGAGTTATCGTGCCCACCAGCCAAACGGGCGGACATTTGTAAATCGACCCCAAATTGTCCGGAAGTTGGGGGTATATGTAATTTGCCGAATCAAAGTGAGATAAGGATGAGAGTAAACAAATAGGAATTGCAGGAGATAGCGCCACCCATACAACATTTGCAAAACTAAATAAGCGGGGACTCCAACCAGTGGCAGTATCTACTTCCGAACTAGCTCTCGTTTGAAATCTTGGAACAGGAAAAATATCTGCAAAATACTGCGAACTTCGAAGCTCAACAACCATTTTTTCGATTGCGACCATTTTTTGCAGTTACGTCCGTCAAAAAACTCTGGCCAACAGACGTAGTTTATGGCCAGCATCATTTTGTATCAGGTGCAGCCTGAACGCATGACTTTCATTATTATAAACATGAGAAAGACACTATTTTTTCTCCAAAAAAATTAAACAATTTATTAATATCACAATTATTTTCCTACTTCGTTCTACTTTAGCACTATATGCGCTCATTTGTTCTCTTTCTATTTTTTTGAAAAAAATTTATTCCTCCCAAGCAGAGCTCCGATTTGCTCGATTTTACTCGCGAGTGAAAATTACTCCCGAGTGGGAGTAAGTAAAGAGTACGAGTTTTTTTGGGGAGTATACTCTCGAGCGAGTTTCACTCTTTACTCGAATTCGAGCGAGCATTTCGGAGCTCTGCTCCCAAGAAAAAATCACCACAACCACTATTCATTGTTCGGTTTACTCTTTGTTTGTTATTTTTGCAACCGTTTACTTGACTACTGTTTCTACTGACTCAATTGTTTTGCATTTCATTGTTTATTTATTTCAGACACTTTGTTGTTACAAAATTCCCATATGTATTTTCCAATTTATTTCGATATATCAAACAAGTGTTGATACGAATAACAAGCCCACGCCAATGTTTTACATTTTATACGGTTCTTCTAAAGAAAAAAAAAAAGATAAAGAATTGTTGTGCCTAATTAACCCGCCGCAACCACCAAACACTCCAATATTGTTTTTCTCTGACGAGAAACCAGTAAATTGTGTGGATTGCGTTTATAAAATGCAAAAATCCCGACATTGTCAAAACGTTCTAAACACTTTTATACATTTGGCCTAAGAAAAACTGTCTGAAACCTAACATTAAATGCGAAGATTGGCAGAAGCTTGAAAACCAGCAAAAATTTCCCTGGGAAGTCTAAAAGATTCCTACATTATATTATTATGTTTATTATTTACACTATAAATTTCTTTATTCTAATAATTGAATTGCCACACTTCGAAACTATGTACATGCCCCTTTTTGCCTCAACCCCCTCATATTTTTTAATGTACATTTTAATGGCATATTTAATGCAATATGGTCTTTCATATTCATTAGTTCTTATCTTCAATCAAAAAGTAACGCTCTTCTGTACCCCAACAAAACCCCTCCAGCACTCCCCTTCCGTTCCCTCCAATTCGTTTCAAATAATTTGTTTTGGATATTAAAAGTTCTTTCATTCACTATTTGCTGTCATCAAAATTGTATTGCTTGATGTTGTCCGCTTGCATATTTGCATGCATACATGGCCCCGCTAGTGCTAGTGACGGGAGTGATTTACCTTCGTATCAGAGGAACGCGAAGAGCTTTTCGTGGAAAAACTCGACAACAATTTCAATGAATGAATCCAATGTTGACAGTCAATGTAAAAGACAAACACCCGACACTGGACACCGGACACCGAGCACACAGAGCAAGTGACAACATTATCAGAGTACACAACATTGGTGGAATGCTAGCAGAGCTTTCCACCGAGCTACATATGGCAGTTGCCACGTTACAGGCTAGCACCTGTGCCCGTGACAGAACCAGAACCAAAGCCAGTGCCGGACAGACAGACATTTCGATAAATATCGAAATGCATAAATAATGTTAAAAACACAATGACACACCACTGCCCGGGGTCCTGATGATAGATGGGTTTCATAGATATGACAACACTTGTTTTTCTTTTTGTTTTGGTTGCTGGTGGTGTTGTTGCTGCTGCTGTTGGTTGTGCAGGATTGGTTAGTGTCGGATTGGGTAAATAAAAATACGCTTGGAATCCATTGCATTTAGCAACGGGTCACTGCATGATGGAATTTCTAGGATTTGCAAAGTGGATGAAAGGTGGGCGGGTTGGAATGGATTCGACATCGGCACCACTCATCACGCCTATTATATTCGGCCAATATTTAAACTTCAATAAAAGTGACATGTTGTGAAAATATTCAGTTGTTTGTTGAATTTTCTGTAAAAATCCACGGGGAGTTTTGTATTTTGTTTCGGTTTTTTTGTTTATGGGTTTTTGTTGTTGTCATGCAACACGTTGCTCTTTTTTATTTTTTTAGTATAGCGCCTTTATCATGTCGATAGTTAGTACGGCATTGTTGTTACAATTTACCTTCAAAACTATACATATGTATGTATGCATGTATGTATGTAAATGTATGTAGGGGGAAGTGCAATTTAATATTTAAAATTTCTGATAAATCTTAGAAGTCTTGTAATAATATTATCTGATTTCTGTGTATGAAAAATGAAAGGAAGTAGTCAAGGATTGACAATTTTGTATTGAACTTCGTAAGTCTTTAATCGTAAGACCTGTCCTCAAAAAAGACTACTTCTAATATAATCTTTACGAAACCGCTCGCAGGTGTTTGATGGCATGTCTGAATTTGGCATTCCTGCAAAATTAATACGGCAATGCAGAATAACTTTAACTGGCACAAGATCAGCAGTTAAAGTCGGAAAAGACCTTTTCGAGCCCTTCAATACCGAACGAGGATTCAGATAAGGTGACAGTATGTCGTGTGACCTTTTTAACATCCTACTTGAAAATGTCGTACGAGATAAAAATATTAACAGAAATGGCACTCTGTACAACAAATAGCACATGTTACCCGCCTACGCCGATGCCATCGACGTATTGGGTCGAACATTACGAGCGGTAACAGCCACCTTTGAACGAATTGAAAAGGAGTGTGCCAAAGTGGGAATGGCAGTAAATGGTGAGAAGACCAAGCTGATGGTATCAACGCGGAAGACATCCAGTAGACTCGGATCAACTATGGAAATTCAAAACTACAGCTTCGAGGTAGTGAATGATTGTACATATATACCTTGGTACCGGCATAAAATTTGAAATTCGGAGAAGAACAGTGTTGGCCAACAGATGCTACTATGGTCTAAGTGAGCCTCGAAGCTGATACTACCCTCCTCCTCGAAGCTGATACTACCCGTGCTGTTATATGGATCTAAAGCATGGGTACTGACGCAAGCAGATGAGCCAGCTCTTGGAGTGTTTGAGAAAAAGTCAGACATATCGAGCTGCAGCAACTACCTTGACTAAATCATGTTGAGGATGTCCCAGCACAAAAGACATATAAATGCGAGCCAACTGATGGCTCACGCAGTAGGGTAAGGCCATGAATTCGATGGAAAGATCGAGTAGAAGATAAAATCTCGGAAAATGGTCATTCAAATTGGATGTGCTGCGCACAAGACCGACGCGCCTGGATATCTTTTTTAAGCTCGGCTTATGGAACAAAGTTTCATTCACAAGCCGGCTAAGCATGTAAAAATTGCGCAATTTTCGATATTATGAAGTTTTTAGAAATATAATTTGACATTCCGCATTATTGGATGTGATATATAGGGGGTACAAAATATTATATTCAGCCCAGTCGAACTTAACGAAGTTTTCATTGTTGTATTTTATACAAATTCCTATAAGATCCATACATGGATTAATAAGAACATTGTCAATATAGGACCACGATTTGACAAATATTCAAAATAGGTCATGTATGAACATGACTCATATATTAATTAAAAAAAAATTGCCGACTGTATCTTCTTATCGTATTTATATTTTTAAGTAATGATATAGTTAACCCCAACACCGCCTTTAAAATTCACCCTCGTAAATTACAACAACAACCAGTCCTTTGTATCGTTTAAATACACAGCAGACATCCATCAACGATTTTGATTTTTATCGTGGACAACAAACAGTGGCAACCAAGTGTTGAATTTCTTTTTTTGTAGCACTTTTCTCTGAAATTTTATAACAAAAAATTACAAGCATTGCATATGGAGAGGGGGAGGGGCTATATTATCACTAGAAATTCTTTGACAGCGCCACGAACCCGTGATTAACCGGGTCAATTCACTGTAACTAAAGAATTAAAAAAATATATATTGCAGCCGCTGTTGTTGCGAACTTTAATTCACAGAAGTGTGCGAGCGGATGTGTGTGTGTGTGTGTTTGTATGAGTTTGTGTATTTGTCCTTTGTCGTAGGTGTTGTCGTTTGAAATATTGACAACACCAACAAAAGCAGCAGCAGCAACAACAACAAATTTGCTTATTTGCTGCTTGCTTTCATTTCAAAGCACCACCACCACCGCCGAATGTTGATTAAATTGCTTTGGCAAATTGCCAGTTTATGAAAATTTAATAGCTGGGCGCTTTAATTAAATAACTGAAGACTTATTTGGAGAAGGCCGGCTTAAAACTAATAATGTTTTGTACAATTAACAATTAAATAAACATCCACGAAGTGTTTCAGGTTAATTGCAATATGTGTAATGTGATTATTTAAAGAAAAGGTAGTTAGTTAATTAGTGAGACGCCGAGGCAAAGTGACTCTATTAGGGTATAACTTTTGAGGGATGCGACGTGGTAGCAGCTTATTTTTTTTTAATTTGTATAAAATACTTTCTTTAAAAAAAAATTATGTAAAATCTTTTACAATAGTTTAAACAAAAAAAGTGATGGGGAGTTATGGGTTAATTGATCTGTCGTTGCAAACAGTTCATGATATTGACCTCCAAACTTTATTTGGATGGAAGCTGTGTCTACTTTAATGTTACACCAGTGAGCCGAGCAATATAGTCGGACGGGGCCGACCATACGATACCCTACACAACTACGAAGGAGTTCTAACATTCTAAGGACGTTTATTCCGAGCCTGGGAAATATTTCGTGACATTTGCACCCTCTTGCCCGATTAGAGGTCAACAGCACATCTTCCATATACTGACATATTTTCTGAATATTACTAATATTCAGTACAGCCCTTCTTATTACTTGTCCAGATTGACTTCAGCGTTGTATGGCGATGATGACTGTGGCCTATAGATCGATTCGAAAAAATGCAAAAAATTAAGTTTTCGGTCCACTTCATCCCAAAATTATTATCTGATCATCATCGAAAATTATAAGCGCTGTCCTTGACCGTAACTGGAACCCCATGAACAATTTCAAATCGATCAGCGTTATATTTCCGCCCTCTAGTGTGGTAATGGGTTACGAAATAATATCTGAATATGTAAGCACCTGTAAATATTTAAGTGTAACTCCCACATCCGAGAACATACGACAATATAATTGGTATCAATTTAAAAGCCAGGCACTCCTCTTGGATATACTATCAACTTCTTTGGTCTATATACTTTAGGAGTAAATATATACGCCATAGAAACCAAATTTTGCAATTTTTCACACAAAAGTCAGGGTCCATTTGCCCCGCTAAATATTGACTGATCTTTATCAAAACAGGCATGCTCAATTTTTGGCCCGATCCCATTCTCCATGTAAAATTTCACGATGTTCGGACCATAATTGCGACCTCTGGAGCAACCAGAAAAACCGACAAAAACTAGGTATTTGGTCCATTTCATCCCCTAAATATTAACCGATCTTTACCAGAAACAATAGGAGTCTTCATTGACCAGAACCCATCCTACATGCAAAATTTCGTGAAGTAGGTCCATAACTGTGGCCTGTATCGTGTTTACAAATTATAATGGACAGATGGACGGACACACATGTCTAGATCGACTCAGCTAGTCGAGATATGACGATCGGTATACTTAAAGGTGGGTCTTCGTATCAAAGTAAACTAGAAGCCAACAAAATGGGGACTACGCCCCGAAGATTATTATATATTTATATTCTTATTTTACGAAGGAAGATATATATGAACGTTTTTGGCCAATTTAATAAAACGCATAATTTTAAGATGTTTTCCTTATGCCCAAAATTAAAACCTCGATAACATTTGCGCGTATCAACCAAAAGTTTGATCGCGAACAGTTTCGGAGTCAGAACATTTTTCTCTATATGTGTACCAAAAATGATGTATGTACCACGAAAACAAAAAAACCGATTTTTTGCAATATTAAATGAAATATTAAACCAGTAAGGAAAGTAGTAAAGTCGGACGGGGCCGACTATATGATACCCTTCACCACTTTGGGTATATTCAACAGACGGAAGCCTAACAGACGTCACATTTTTGAAGGACCATTAATATGAAATTAAACAGGTCTTTCTACAACCTATAAATTTTGGCCAGATATAGAGTTGCTTCTTACAATAGGACAAACTTATGTAAATTAATTTAGAGCAAAATATCTAATTGTAAACCGATTTAATCGAAACTTGTCACATGTTAGGTTACACTTATTTTAGTATGTTTTGTGCATTCGGCCGCATTTCTTTATCATATATAAAAACATATAGGGACTTTGGTGCAGCATTTACTTAAAATCGGACAAAAATATATATGGGATCTATATCTAAATCTGAACCGATTTTTACGAAATTAAAAACACATATTTCTAGACTTAATTCAGTATGCTATGCCAAATTTCGTGCAAATCGGAGGATATATAGGGACTTTGGTGCACCATTTACATAAAATCTGACGAAAATATATATGGGAGCTATATCTAAATCTGAACCGATTTTTATGAAATTTTACACACATCGAATGATATATAGGGACTTTGGTGCACCATTTACAAAAAAATCTGACGAAAATATATATGGGAGCTATATCTAAATCTGAACCGATTTTTATGAAATTTTACACACATCATTCTAGACCTAATTCATTACGCTGAGCCAATTTCCTGCAAATCGAAAGATATGTAGGGACCGTTTGCATTAAATCGGACGAATATATATATATATATATATATGGGAGCTATATCTAAATCTGAACCGATTTTTCCCAATTTCAATAGGGTTTGTCCTTAGGCCAAAGAAGTGACCTATGCCAAATTTCATCCAATTCGGATCATAAATACGACCTGTACTTTGTTTACAATTTAACATGGACAGACAGACAGACGGACGGACGGACATGCATAAATCGACTCAGAAAGTGATTCTATGCATATTCTCAAAAGGAACCATGTGTCTATCTCGTTTCCTTTTGCCTGTTACAAACCCATACACAAAGACATAATACCCTGTACCACAGTGTGGTGATATAAAAATTGGCAATATTGTCTATATAATGTTTGAACAGATTTCTGACTATTCCTCGATGGTCCCGACAAAATAGTACACTATGTTCAATATCTCTGAGTGAGAGTATATTAAATTTTTCATTCGATTTGCAAGACCTCAAAATATTCGTCGGAAACCTAATTAAATAAATATATTTATTCTCAGTTTAAGTCACGTCTGTTTGTTGAATTCACGATTCAGATACAAATATTTAACTCGCTACCTTTTTTACAGTTTACAACTGCATTGTTCAACATTTTTCAAATTTGGCATTCCGGGAGGATAAAACAAATTTTTAGAGACAATTTTGAATGTGGGTCCATGTTGGGGTCCAGGTTTGGGTCCATGTGGGATCATAGGCCCCATTTACCAACGAAAGAAGCTGTTGTTTGACTTCCGTTCTGTATTCGTGGTGGTTCAATCATTTCTTCGTACATAATTGCTTATGGGTCTCCGGAAGAGCAGATAGCTGATATAAAGAGAAAGCTGAGGCAATACAAAGTTAGGAAACAATCACGAGATTCCATCGAATGATGGGATGATAGAGTAACAGACAGAGGGCTGCGCTATTCAGTGATCGACGAGAATAGCGAGCATTGTAAGCTAAAAAGGAGACTTATAAGGAAGTGATGTATGCAATCATCAATAAAATCAATCAAAATGAAACTGCTTTGGAAAAGACATTCTCATCTGCTATAAAATTCAAAATTCATCGTCAGAGGTTGTGCTAGCGACCATAATTAAACTTTTAGTGCCAAAACTACCTCCTTAACTCAATATTACACACCAATTCTGAGATTAACAATTCTGGTATCATTAAATATGCTTTGTACTCTTGTAATACTTATTTCCAAAAAATAAATTGCAAATTTTAAATATAGGTTCACCCTAATCCAAATTTAGTACTACTTAGTACAATTCAATTTAATTACAATTTAATTCATTCATTCCAAAAGTAAACATAATTTCAAATGATAGAATTCCAGCTCTATTGGTTTTCCTAAATCAAATTTAGTACCCATAAGTACAAATTTCCAAAACGACACCCATACCCCAATTCTACACTTGAACAGTTCACCCAAATCCAAATTGTACCACATTACCATTTAGTACTTTTCGTACTCATAAGTACAAATATCAAAAATGTAGGTATGTATATCCCAATCCTATACTACGATTGGTACGTTTCGTATACATGAGTACACACTTTCCAAACAACCTACTTAAATCGACCATACTTCTCAACATTGTTTTGCATTCCAAATTTCAAGTCTTTAGCTTTATCCGTTAACATGCTACAAAATAGAACCAAACGTAGTACATTTTAGTACTCTCCGCCTACTTATACTTCGAATTTCGATGTACCCTTGGGTACATCTATCCTACAAACCATCAGCGATTGTCATTCTAAATTTAAGAGTTTTAGCTTTACCGGTTCGCCAAATACAAAGTATTTAGTACTTTTTAGCACTTTTCGTGCCGCTTAAATAAACTCCTCCAATATGTATACCCTAGATTCCGAAAAGCGGTCGGTATCTGTGATTGACTACCCCATACCCCAATTCTACACTTGAACAGTTCACCCAAATCCAAATTGTACCACATTACCATTTAGTACTTTTCGTACTCATAAGTACAAATATCAAAAATGTAGGTATGTATATCCCAATCCTATACTACGATTGGTACGTTTCGTATACATGAGTACACACTTTCCAAACAACCTACTTAAATCGACCATACTTCTCAACATTGTTTTGCATTCCAAATTTCAAGTCTTTAGCTTTATCCGTTAACATGCTACAAAATAGAACCAAACGTAGTACATTTTAGTACTCTCCGCCTACTTATACTTCGAATTTCGATGTACCCTTGGGTACATCTATCCTACAAACCATCAGCGATTGTCATTCTAAATTTAAGAGTTTTAGCTTTACCGGTTCGCCAAATACAAAGTATTTAGTACTTTTTAGCACTTTTCGTGCCGCTTAAATAAACTCCTCCAATATGTATACCCTAGATTCCGAAAAGCGGTCGGTATCTGTGATTGACTGGGGACTAAGATCTCATTCTAAAATGGCCACTACGCTGTGTAGATTGTTTGTGGCGGCATTCTTGTAT